TGAGGCTTCTGTTCGCTTGTTTTCCAAGACTGGTTGTTCTGTTGCTGCATCTACATCTGACTAGTGTTTGTTTCATGCAGTTACACTACAGCTTAAATTCTTACTATACCAACTTTTCTACCTGTAAAGTGGGGTTGAAAATGTTTACATCTTGTATGATGGGATCATGTTTATTTTAAGTGAAGCAAGATCTTGAGGTAAAGACTTTTGTAATGTTCTGGTATGACATGCAGTGAGTTGTACTGCCTCCTTTTGATCCACACATGGAGAGGTGCTGGAAGCAGAGGACAGGAGCAACTTTCTGTATCTGGTGGGAATTTTCTAAATCTGGTCTCTGCATCACCCCTTCACAGATTCCCCTTATTGTTACGAGGGGATGGAAACCAGGAAGCTTGAGAAGAAGCTTCAAAAGCCGAGATTTTTGTATACCGACTAGGGTTAGAGATTTAACAGATGTTTTTGCTTTTTGTCGTAAAGACCAGCAGGGTATGTATCCATCCAAAGGTAGATCCTTTGGATGGATAGAACTACTGGAATTCACATGTGATATTGAAGATACAAACAACCCCTCTAATGCTGTCTCCTGAGAACAAGGAGAAACTGGACATGTATAAGGCAGTTGAAATAATACACCTTCTACAGTCTGGTCTTGCATTGGTTAATTCCCAAATTTTCTCTTAATCTATTTTTCTTCTCAGTGATTAATTTGATAATTTTAAGAGTACTAGGGATAGAAATGAAGTTTTGGATATGGGAACATACATTATAAAGTGACAATTTTAGATTATTTGGACTTCAATTGATATGTCTTCTAACGGTTGAGGTTTGAATCATCTATTAAACTTGCTCACTATGAAAGTAAACTTGCAGAAGTTCATTTTTTGGTTTGGGTTTGGGTTTTTTTTTTTTTTTTTTTTTTTTTTCTGTGTTTCAGAATTGTTTATTCTTGAGATTGGAGGAGACAATCCTTTAAAATCAACATGCTTTCATCTCCAGGACTATATCTCATGGATGTCTTCCAAGCAGTTCCATGAACTGTCTCCAAGCCTGGTTTCTGAAAAATTGGGATTGTGATCCCACTATTTGCATTTTTGCCTATGTTGCTTTTGAATTGTATTTTCCGGTGGAATTACTTCACATAAATACTGCAATAATAACAGCAAAATACATCCAACTGTTATCCCACTATCTTCTCCTGTTAGTAGATAACTTGCTTCTTGAAAGAGCTTCCTTTTGTTTTGGAAAACCATTGTTTAGTCTCTACAGATGTATTGTGCTCCGAGCACTTCATCTGAATGTTTTTATAACTGAATTTTAACACTGAAATATGTCTCGAAATTCTCCTGGTGTATTGTGAAAGAATCGCATATAGACTTTCAGCTATATAATAAACAAAAAGATATATTATTTCTAAATCTCATTTTAATACAGTTGTGAGGTATCACATGGGAAGCCTTGTAAAAGCCTACTGTCACTGTGTTACTATGCTTGAACGTAATTATAAGCCCTCAGTTTTCATAATTAGAAGATAATGAAAAGCTATAGCAGTTGTCTCGCTGTTAGCAATTCAGCTTCTTCGAGGTGTGGCAATGAATCAACCTGCATGGAAAGTTTCTGAACAAGGTCACATAATTTGTTATCAGAAGGTTAGCACAAGCTCTGTGACTGTTACGAAAAGGAAGCAGAGCGGTGCTTGAACCCCAATGTAAAACACTTAGGTAGCTTTTATTTCTATAATAAGCTGAATTGGAAAATAAACCATGGAAAACCTCCAGTTGTGAACCTGTGCAATCCCAGTGCTGTGAACTGCAGATTTCATGTCTGTTGCTGTATTGCTTGAACAAGTAAACTACCTTTGAAATGAGCACAGAGGTAGAGTAGGACTGACATGCTGTTTTGCTTTTGGAGCTTTCTATCCCCAATTTTTCTAATTATTATTTTCTTCAAACAAAAGCACTCGAACACGCTCCCTAGAAGTTTAACTTGCATTTCTTCCCAAATATTTTTCATCCTTCATTCTTAGAAATAAGCTAAGAACTGGATAGAACATATGAGTTATTATCCCACCCTCACCCTTGGCTGAACATGATGGTATGTGTATTATTTTTCTTTGGTTGCTTATTGCCAAAATAACTTGCTGTTTGTAAAATTCAGCAAATGTTGGCAGGGATTTTTTTGTCCATTAAAGCCACTTTGCTCTTGGCACAGATTTGGAAGCAGCATGAAAGTGATATAAGTGATTTTTCCTAGGCAGGACAACTCTGTAGAAATCTGGCAGCAGAGCTTTTCTCTGCTTAGACCAGCTGTACTTTACAGACCACAGTACAATACAGATGTTCCCATAATTTTAAAACTAAATCTTTTTCTATAAGACAGTGAAACTAATTTACACTGTCACAAATACACTTTCTCCTTCTATCATGATCACTCATGGAATTTCTTGTTCTCATGTCTTGTTCTATATTTAAATTAATTAATTCTAATAAGATTATTTTCATTGCTTTATAAATAGGCATGCAAATAAATATGGAAATTTATAATATATGGTATAAACTGATACATAATATAGTTTTAATATATAAGATATTACATTTTCTAATAAAACATTTTGTCATTTCTACAGTAATGTATATAAACCTAAAATGTTAGACAAGTCATGCGTGCCCCTTAAGAACAGCAAGATATAAACATTTAACCATATTTATTCTACCTAATGCATTACATAAACTCTAAAAAATAGCATATTTCATTTTTTCCTTACTGAAAGTTGTTTTAATTTAAAAAGTAAATCAAATAAGCTATTCCCTAAGGGTTTTGTAAAGATTTTGTTGTTGAACCTTTCAATGAAAACAAATATTTAAATGAGGGCATGTATGCAATTAGAAATATTAAAATATTAAAATATTAGAAATATAAGAATATGAAGTGAGTTGACAGTGACATTTTCATAATAAATAATAATCTCTAGGTTCTATGTCATCAGATCAAGACTCTTATTCAGTGGGAAAGCAACATGAATATTAATTGTGTTTAGAGGAATAATGCAGATATTATTTCTGTTTACCAAATCCAGTGAACGCTTTGCTGATACAGGAACAGATCTAGTGCATGTTATCTGGTAAAAAGAAACATGAAAGCTATAGATGGTCCTTTGTCTTTTTCTTTCTTTTTTTCAGGCCAGCTCACTTTTTTTCCAGCTCACTTTAAAGCCATGGGTAACTCAGCACTGTATGAATAAAAATGTCGATTTCTTGCCTGTTCTATTATAGCAAAATAGTTAACTAGGAAAAAAAAACCAAACAAACAAAAAACTGTCTCATTCATGCTCTCTATCTAGCCAATCTAGAATATCTGCAGAAAATTAAAGGAGTTATTCTGCCCATTGATTTGGGGGTATTTTTGTTTGGGGTTTTTTTTTTTTTTTAGCATCTCTCAAACCATATTATAGGGGTTTTAATCAAAAACCACAAAAATATGTCTGTATGTGAGAGACTGACATGTCCTATGACTGTCTCAAAGCTTGCTTGTGTCTGTACAAACCTCCAAGAGAAGCTGCTGCGGACTGTGAACTGCTCTGGGGGATGCTGCCCAGAGAAGCGGGAGTGTATTGAAGGATGCACCCCCCCACTTCTTGGCGGTTGCATTGTCTGGACTCTTTAGATAAGCCTCAAAGGGTCAGACATGGACTGAGCTGGCCCCATCCTGTAGCCATTTGTGGCTCTATTTTGTAGGCCAGACCCCATGCCTGCATTGCTAATGAACTATAAGAGGCAAACCTTCCTGCCCTGGAAGCCAAATGCAACAAAACCTGTTGGACCAGAAGAAAAAAACCCTAAAGGCGAGCAGATATGCTGATCATTGGGTATGATGGTTTTAAAAAGGCAACAGAAAATCTTTCTTTTTGTGCATCTACCAGTGAAGCCAGATCCATGGGCACCCACCGCTGAAGACTGAGGACCAACAGGACACCACTGGATCCATGGTGGTGACTATACTTGAAGCCCTATCCCGCATCCTTGTTTTATTTCTGCTTTTCCTTCCATTCTGTCCTATCGCTATCCCTCTTCAATTTTTAAATAATAAAAACCTATTTTGGGTATACAGCATTTGACCTCATTTGTGTCTTAATCTCACTCTTGAGATCGTATCGAAACCTCCCCCGAGATTGGATTGGGACACTGTATTTTCACTAGTCTGTTATCATTTAATTATTTGTTGTTTTGGTTTTGGCTTTGGTTTGTTTGTTTGTTTGTTTTCTGGCAGCATCAGAATAATTCTAATGGGTGAACTT